GCAAGCACTTTGTCAAGTTTATCAACATATTGATGAACGACATAACCTTCCTGCTCGAGGAGGTTCTAGAACATCTGAAGTATATACTCGAGTTGGAGGAATTTATTGACGCATGTAATGCTATTTCGACGGAACAACTAGGATCAATAATGGGGCAGCTGATGGACAACGAGGAAAAAGTCAGATTCTCTCTTAAATTAGCCAAGAAAATAGTTGCTATGTTTCATTATTTAACGGTCGACATTAAGGAACCGTTTCTACGACCGGAATTAGTCGGACAATTGTGTGCCATGCTGAATTTCAATTTGCAACAGTTGTGCGGACCTAAGTATAAAAATTTGAGAAAACTGGAAAAATACGGATGGCAACCGAAGAAGTTATTCAGTCAATTGATTGATATATATTTACATCTTGACTGTGATAATTTTGCGGCTGCTTTAGCCAGTGATGGAGTGAGTATCTTTTATAATATATCATATACATATATTACACATATATGTATATAAATATATATATATAAATTCATTTTTGCAGCATTTGTTTTGTAACGAGTTATTCACCGACGCTACGAATGAATTAGAGAGATTCGGCATTAAAACTACGACGGAAATGGAGAGTTTTGTAGCTCTCGCTGAGCGTGCGGCGGTAATCGCAAGAGACAATCGCGCGCGTGGCGACGCTCCTGAGGAATTTCGGGATCCATTGATGGACACTCTTATGGAGGATCCAGTCAAGCTACCGTCTGGTATTGTTGTGGACAAAGCAGTTATCATTAGACATTTACTCAACAGTGCCACGGATCCTTTTAATTGGCAGCCGCTTAGCGAAGATATGCTTGTGCCAAGTAAGTAATACGTGTATTGTTCATATTTTTCTCTTTTTTGATAAAGTCAACTTTCTTTTAGTCTAAATATTGGTAACATTTCATAACAATGCATTTTCATATACATAAATATATTAGAAAAATATTTGATGCGTCATAGATAATATAGTTTTTGAC